TGCTGCAGTGAACTCTGCAAAGCAGCGCTGGCAAGCTTACTCAGCCCTGCCAGATTTGGTGGTCTCTTTTCCTGAGGCCTTGTGAGGCTCTGTGGTACCCTGTCCTGATGTCCTTGGAGTCCTTGGACATGACTGGTCCTCTCCACAGTGCTTTTCACAAGCACCGGACAACTTATCATGTGCCTGTCAGCTTCATCCTCCTGACACTTTGTCTGGTACTTTGCTAGGAAGGTCAGCCAGGCAGAACGGTTCTTATGTGTATGGAAAGGAGTAATTTATCTGTCAGGCTTTAATCCTTAACAAATAAGTTCTTTGGGGGGATTTATGCAGGAAAATGAAGGTTAGTGGCAAGTCTCCAAACAGGCACTTATCAGAGTAGTGAGGAGAAGCTGATTAAACAGAATCACATGGTAAAAAATAAGCTGAGCACACGATGCCTTTAGTCCTACTCTCACTTAAGGCATGAGGCTCATCACCACCAGGAGTTTTTCACTCCCCAAGCCACAGAACAGGCAAATGTTGCACAGATGATGCGATCGAAGAGCAATGATGTGCCATTCCCACAGCAGCACTAGCCAACTCTAAGCTCCTTGTTGCTCTTTGGCCTAGAGGATTACTGGACTAGAATAAAGCCCTAACTTCGGGGAGGTGCAGACAGAAGTGCCTGGAAGTACACAGCTGGGTGACTGAAGGAGGCAGCATCAACCCTAGTGCTCACCTACACTGTGGAGCAACAAAGAACTGGCAAGTCACTGCTGGGTTTAACAGGAATATAACACAGGGTGCATTAGAACTACTGTGTACCTTTAGGAGAGGGTGAATTAGGACCCAGAATTGGGTCACCATATGAGAGATAAGTTCTTCTCTCCATTGCCTCCTACTTCTGTGGCATTTGCTAGTTCCATACCTGGCATCGCCTGCTGTAGCTATAGACTGTAGTTACAGCTCTGAGGCAGTGAGAGGACAAACATGTTCAAGTTTCCATTGTTCCTTCAGTGGTGACTGTGTAGGACTGCAGCTAAATATTCTGTGTGTACAGTGAGCCTGCAAGGATGTGCCCAAAGATCATCTTTAGTGTATCAGCTGTAAGCATAATAACTCAGACTGTTTTCTTCTGTCTCCATCATGTCCTTTCCTCCAGCAGAATGCCTAGACATGCTTGTGGTCATGTTACTTCAGAGCTGAGCGTGTAGACACATGCTTAGTATTATAGCAGTGTCATTGACTTGATAAATGCAGGCATCTGAGCTGCAACTGTGGTGCTGTTGCTGTGTACCATGAGGAATGGAGCATACGAACAGGGGGAGGAGGGAGAAGGGCCCAGTGTTTCCCAGCTACAGGCCAGGTCAGAATTATCTGGTGTTTGAGGGAGACCTCTGCTTTCTGCCTGCTGCCGCTGGGCAGTGGGGGAGGCAGGAGGTGCCTTGGCACAGGCCCCTTCGCAGGTGGGCCTGGCTCAGGCAGCAGTTGGACTGGGTGCTCTGTCAGATTAAGCTCAGCCACCTGACATGCTGTGCACAGCCCATAGGGTCATGAGCAAGACTAGAAGAGCTCGGTAGGAAGGAGGTGGTCATCTCAAGGACAAAAGATGCTCCTGTCCCAGCTGGCTGTTGTGAGATCTCCATGGCTGCCTTGCAGCTCACAGATTTCCAAGGCTCACTCTCACTCCAGCCAGGGCACTGAACCCCTTGCAGGCCCACCTGGGAGCTACATCCATGCACACCTTTGCTCTGAGCTCTCCTGAAACTATCAAAGGGACTTCCCATGTCTGAAGTGTTTTCTTAGTTAAAAAAATCACTTTTTAGAGAAAGGAAACAGTTCTGATGGGTGACAAAGCTGAAAATAAATTATTTGGAAACAAAATTCTCCCCTTCCTCCACTTAATACAGTAATTTTTGGTGCCTGTGTACGCATCAGCAAACTCTGCACAGCCTCCTCTGGAAAGTACCTGTCTCTTGCTGTCTCTCACAGTCAGCTCTGGCTGTTCTCTGTACTCCCTGGGTCCTGCACTCTGCGAACCTGCTTCTGGCTTCCCCTCTCCGAGAGTCCCTCACTCTGCCTGCCCCGCTCTGCCCGCAAGAGGTTCCTCCCCGCTGCTCCTTCCCTGAAAGCGACTTCTGCTGCCCATGCACATCTTCTGGAGCATCCTGCCCTGGCAAAGCCGGAGCAGGTCCCTGCTGCCTGGCAGCGCTCGGCGGCTCTCGCACCTCTGCAGGTGCTGGGGAGATGGGCCTCTGCTCTCCTGTGGGAAAGGGGCGCCCGCCAGTGGGTTTGGGGTGTTTCCCTGTGTAGCAGGGACAGCATGCCCCTGCACAGACCTGAGCAGCCAGGACTGTGGCCCACGGCCACTCGTGCCTGGTGCCACTGCAGCTCTCCTGCAGCCCAAAGAGGGGTCCACGCTATGGGCCCCAGCAGCGAACTTCCACCTGAAGAGAGACCATGAGGACACAAGTCGGTTTTATTTTCATTGCTGTTCTGTCCCTTGGTGAAGGGAGCAGCCACAGACAGATCCCACCAAGTCATTTCTGTGCCACTACTTCCTTGCTCTTCATGTGATGGCTTCTCCCCCTGCCTGAGCACCTTCTTCTCTGGCTACCTTGCTCTCACACACGTACATACAGAGCTTGCCAAGCAAGCGTGAAGCCCAGGAACCTGCGTCACATGGGCCTTGGTTTCTCCTGAGGCCTTACTGTGTGTAGCTGCCTGCCTTGGGCAAGGACCACTTTATTCTCAGCTCTCACCACAGCAAGGGCCGTTTCCTCTTTCTAGTTAGTCTGAAAGCAGAGTGCAGAAAGTACACAGTGGCTTTTAGTCCCATGGCTGCAACCCGATCGCAGACCAGCCTGCCAGGCCATGGCATCTCATTAACTGTGCTTTCTCACAGGAGCCCTTTGGCACTCTCTGGAGCCTTGTTCCCTGCTCAGTGACTGGCTCTCACATCATCTCATTCTCTCTTTCTTGACAGATCATGTTATAACCTATGATCACAGAAAGTCCTGATCCTCATGTTTCTCTGCTGTCACCTGTGGGCTCCTTCAGAGCCGTGAAGAAGGGGAAACTCCAGTCCCACCATGAGAAGACTGGGTGAGAAGTGCCTGTGACATCTTTGGGAACAGCACACCTCAGGAACTAGTTTTAATTTTTATTTTTAGCATTTACAAAGGACAGAAGTAATGTTCTTCATTCAGTGGTGATCCACAGGAGTGGCTCTGCCTTCCCTCTCAGAGACTAAGTTAGAGATCCTATCGTTAATGCAGGGGATGTCTGCTGATTTTAAACACTGTAAGCAAGGGGTGAGTCAAGCTACTGGTGAGTTACGAAGATGGGCTCCCAGGCAATACACTGCCTCAGACTTCTCTTCAGATGGAAGATGTCTGTTGGTACCTCACATGCTCAAATGCCTGAGGTGTCAGAGCCTTCAGGGAGTAACAAGCCTCTTCATTCCCCTCCTGATCAAGATGGCTGGCAGCATGTGCAGAACCCAACTGCACTAAAAAACAGTTTGGGCTGTAACTTACATGGTCCTGCCTTGCTTTACCAAGACCTTTTCTTGGGTGTTCAACCTGGTTGTTTCTTGCCTGGCTTATTACTAGAGACTGATGCCCCACAATCTCTGTGCTGCCCTTACAAATCCCAGGCTAACTCTGTACCAGCCCAATCTTCCTCTCCTTTATGTATGGGGAGGAACTTGTTCCCTTTGCCTCTGTTTGCCATGGGAGGGAGTGGACAGATCTGTAGTAGACACTGATGTCTTGCGTGACTGCTGGCAAGTCCATGAGGCCTAAAACCACAGGAGAAATTTGGAGTCTCTCTGTTCAATGTCAGGAGGCTCCTTCCACTTCCAAGGATAACTTAGACATTTAGCCTTCATCCTCCTGGGCCAAACTGAAGTATTGGGATTTAAATCTCTGCATTGCTCTGAGTGTGTGATTTAGTCACTTAAAGTCCCTGGGCCTTACAATGCTGAACATGGGAATAGCTTTGGAAATGACACCTTCTCTTTCTCAGTCTCTGCTGAGCTGTTATGGGAGGTGATCATTTGGGCCACTTGCTAAGGGGTCAGGAGGGTGCATTTTTTGAAAGTCTGTGAGGTACCTTTATCTTTGAAGTGGAAAAGCCTTGGAAATGCTCAGCTACCAGTCACTAAACCATATGCATTTTCTTGTGAAGGATAAATCAGAGAATTAAGGGGCTTCAGCGTGACTTTCAGAGAAAAAAACACCATCAGTCAGCCTTTTTCTTCCTCCCTGATCCTTGTGCTTTCCAGGAGACCACACTGTCATGTCATCCTTTCCCACCCCCAGCCTCCTCCTCAACCCACAGACTCTTGTCTGCACCTCATTTGAGGGAAAGAACCTCCCTATCTCTTGTAAGCCACCCATCTCCTTAGTGCTGCTGTGTGAGTAAGCTCAGCCTGCAGCGAGCACTTCTGAGCATTTGCCACTAGAGTTGAGTGGTGTTGTTGTGAGGGAATTGCTGAGGGTAGGTTGGATAAACTTCTCCAAATTCAGCTGCATACTGTAAGGCCACTTTTGGCTTGGCTAGAGCTGGAAAAGATTCCTTGCCCCAAGCCTCACAGCTCATCTCCTAGTTATGCTGCTCTGTTTCTACCCAAGCTTTTGGTGTTTGGCTTCTGCGTTCCCTGGCAGCAGGCCTGCTGTTGCATCCTGCAAGTCATCACCAGGCTGCTTCAGTAACTCATCTTTCCTTCCATTCACAGGTCTTCTACGCATGGCGACTCAACCCATGTGAGAGCTCTCTTATGTGAGTACCCAGCAGCACACTTTGCTGTCTGTGGTCTGAGGACATTGACTGGCACCTAAGCAACACCCCAGCTCCCTCCTCTCCCCCTAGACGCCACTGTCTTAGAGCCTCCATGTGCATTTGCTATGACATACCTCAGTGTTGATGAGAGACAGGAACACTGCCGGGTGGTCTTGAGCTGCCAGAATAATCAGCTCCATGTACAACATGGCTTAAAGGATTTTTCGGTTAGCAGCATGCATCCACTAAAGAACCTAGACACTCGTATTTTTTCTGGGGACTTCCAGACTCTAAACTCCTGCTACACAGGCAAGGCACCTTTGGCCAGTCCTGTGGAAAACCGGATGTATCGGAGCGTGGAGAACCTTCACTGGGCAGCGGTTGCTGACTCTGGGCTCTGTTCTCCCTGCCGAAGCCTGGATAACGAGATCATCTTCCGCTGCAGAGGCACGGCTCAGTGGACAGAAGGCTGTGTGGATGTGGCCCCAGTGCAGAGCACGTCAGACTCTCTGAGGAACCTTTCGCTCCGTGCTAAACAGACTGCTCAATCGGCACAGAATGTGCTTCTCCCTCCCTTTGCCAAAGTGCCTCAGTGGCTCTTCCCTTCTGCAGAGGAAAGAGCCCTACACGGAGATGCCAAAAAAGAGCTGAAGGAGAAGCTGAGGCTGCACAGCAGTAAGATGTCAGAGCCCTGTAAGCCGGTGCGTCCACAGGTGGCCCTGCCTGACCTGGTGGCCCAGGAGTTCTTTGAATGCCAGATGTGCCGGCAGTACAAGAACGGTTGTGCTGTCAACTGCTGCACGGTTTTGGTGGAGCACGCTGCTCTCGGGCACAGCCTCACGGGGAGGCAGAGACTATGTTTTGCCCACAGGGTCATCAGCCCAGAAGACATCAAGCAGGAGGCTCAGAGGAGGCTTCAGCTCCGAAGGCAGAATAGCTCCCCCAATTTGCCCCTTGAGCATGACAGGGAAAGTCACGAGATGGCCCAATGCAGAACAGCAGAAACCCTGGCACAGTACAGTAGGGAAGCAGATGTCAAAGCCACACTGGGACAGAGCAAGAAAGGCCACTGCAAAGGGAGGCTCTACATACCCACCTTTGAAGAATTCAAGCAAATGAGAAGTAAGGAGGCAAATTCATCTGCCAACAGCAGTGGGCCAACAGATTGCTTGAATAAGGGTCTTCCTGAAAACCATACCCTGGAGGAGGAGAGCAGTAAGAACGTCTGTCCAGAAGCTCTGGGAACCAAAGCTGTGAATGAAGTTGCTGTCACAGCAGAGGATGACGATGATGTGTTCCATGAAAACCATGCTGCTGGCTTTTCCCAATATCCAGCCACATGGAGTGGTTTCAGGATGAACAGCCCTGAGGTGAAGGACAGAACCTTCCAGATCTCCAGCCCGGATAGATCACCGGTCCCTGTTTGCTCTAGCCCTATTCCACGATCACCTTTACAGGCAGTAGCAATACACAGAGCTGGGCAGGAGATCTTCAGTGATGAGCAGCAGAAAGGAGAGACAAGACAGTTAAATGATGTCCTCCACCTTGCAGGACAGTCGCTGGCTTCTGAAGCCCAGTCCTCTTGCTGTTCATCGCTGCTGTTAGAAGCCACAGACTTATCCAGCTATGGAGCTAAGCTACAAAAAATGAAGGATGAATTCATAGGTTCAGCCCTGGAACTTATTAAGAAAAGGTAACATGCTCTGTGGGGTCACCTGAAAGCAGTTCCTTTGTTAAAGGTCTGGTCTCTCTCTTGATAACTCCATTTAACTCCCGTAGCATAAATATGCTGTTGGCAGAGCCTTTCATCTTACGATCTCTGATAGCTACATGGACATGCCTTTAAGCTGTTGAGCTTGAACTCTATCTTTGTGTGGGTTTAAACATCAAAAAGCATTTCCAGCTATACTTTGCTTTTTTGCACATCTTAATCCTGTCGAGACAGCAGCCATTAGTAGTGCTGACACCCGATTTCCCACCTATTTTGTTTTTGTAGTAAATTACTGAAATGTCTTTTTTATCTTTTTCTTTTTTAAATAACATCTGCTAAAAGCCAAGAGTTACAAAGTACAAATATGATCCCTTTGAAAAAAGATTTAGAATGTGTCCCAAAACTTTATTAATTTAGGTAATGTGACTTGTAGCAACAAGCGTTTTCACTTGCTGCCTCTACCTAGGGAACTGGCCAGGCAGCAAGTGAAAGTACTTGCAAGTACTGTCCTTCTGCCACTTAGCATAAGCTGTGAGAGAAGAGTACTTGTGTCAAGCCTTCCTCTCCCTTCTCCACCCAGGGTTTTCCCCCCTCTCTGAGTAAGATGTTCACAAGGTCTGCTTTCTTTACCTTGGTTTTAGACACTGCAGTCCTGTTACTCCCCTCCAGCTGAAGAAACGGGAATCCCTTTCCATGCATGCAGATGACCCAAAAGGAGTCAGCAAAGTTCTGGAAACTGGGAATTTGGGGCAGTTATCACTGTCTTATCACTAGATAAGGTTGATGGGAAAAAGAGGAGCAAGTGTTGGTGGAGTGGTTTGTTTCTATATGTTTGGCTTTCAGGACTGCCTTTGTGAAGTTACATATGACTTTGTTCCCGAGGGTTTCCGACACCCGCAGATGCGGCACGTGAAGCGCCAGGGCATCAACCTCTCCACTGGCTTGGTTTTTCTGGAATGCTAGAGCTCTGAGACTGGGCTCCGGTTTTAGAGAAAATGTCAGTGACTTCCACGCAGCAGTGAGAGTCATCTGAAAGAACTTTTGTGAAGCTGAAGCTCACCTTGTAGACAGAGCCAGAGTGACAAGCAGAAATATTTCTGCAACTTTGTAATCCAATGGGAAGTAGGGGGTATCAGAACCCTGTAGGCTTCCTTCAGCTGTCTAGCCCAGCCTTTGTGCTTTTGTTCTAGAGTATGAAAACCCGGTGAAGAAACAGATGAGAAAGCTGTAGTACACCTCCATTTTCTCTGAGTAGGCTATTTTTATCATTGGTGTGACAGGAAACATGCAGAGTGACACCAGCCCTGAACAGGAGTTTAAGACCAGCTGGCTCCAGGCAGAGCAAAGCTTGGCTAGTGTCTGGAGCCCAAGGGACATGAACAGCAGAGAGTGCAGGAAATGGGTAACACACATCATCTTTCTTCCCACTACTCTCCCAGCCTCCCAACACTTTCTGCCCAGGACCTTTATGGTTTCAGTGTGGTTTCTGTGCTTGTAATAGCATCAGTGGTTCTTGTTTCTCTGAATGTGTTCACTTTGCCTAACTGGATTAGGTAAAATATATGAGACAATTTTATTAAGACCAAAATGGTAATTGATGTAAAAATGAGAATGATGGTTGTTCCAGTATTAGAGAGGTTACTTCATGGGAAAGAATCACCCTGGCCTGTTTATTTTCCATTTTTAATTAATGTTAGAGATTATAATTTCTTCAGGATAGCAGTAGGAAAACAAATCTGTTTGCAGTGACAGAGTACTAGTTAGTGGGAAACTCCAGTTTCCTTTGTCTGGAAATCCCTTAATTTTCCATAATTTTCACCTGAGACAGTAATGTGCCTGAATATTCATTTATAATTCAAAATGATTCTCACTGCAGAGGTGAGAGACTTCTTGTCTAGATGTTTTGGGTCCTAAACTATGATTGCTGACATCCAAGCCACATTTTTTCATAAGTCTCAAATGAAGTGAGCTGAAAGCTGTGGGATTCAGTTCCATTTACACAGATACTGAGCTCAGCAAGCCTTGAGATGTGATGGAGCATCACAGAATAAGGTAGCTGAAATTGTCTTCTCTTTTTACTGGCTCTGTGTAAGTGTTACAGTTTTACAAAGCAGTTTTGTCTGGTAAGTTAATTACCTCCCTAGTATCTCATAGTTAATTACTTAAGACTCATTCAAAGGACTTAATATTTCATCAGTGAAGATTTGATTTTCAGCTTCATAGTTATGGCAGCTTTAGCCCCCTCCCAGGTCACTGAATACTTTTAACATGGGTTGTAGTCTTGGCTGGGAAGGGGTGTTCAGATGTTGGTGGAAATCCTGTAGGCATTGCAGTTGGATTTGCTTTCTGAAATTGTTTAAGCAGTGAATTGCTCAGGATAAGGACATGCAAGGACCTGGGGGTCCTGCCTATGAAATGGGGGACAAGGTGACAAAAAAACCTGCATAAGGAAGCAAAGGACATGACTAAGAAGGAGGGCTTCCTGAAAAGAGTGATGAGAACTATTTGGGGTGACAGCAGGATGGTGGGGACAATAACAGCTTTTTATAACAGAGGACTCCAAGTCTGGGAGGCAGGTGCTAGCAGAGAAGGAATAAACAAAAAAATCTTTCCATGAGTCAGAAAGAGTCAAGAACTTACAGAAAGGGCTGAGAACTGCTGACCTGGATGATGGCACGACCATTGAGAGGCTCACAGAGATGGAAAGCATCCAAAGTGAAGGAATGCAGGTGCGTTTCCAGTTGTACACCACTCACTAGTACCTCTGCTCCCATGAGATTCAGAGACGATGGCTCAGAGGTGTAAAAGGCCACTCAGAAAGAGCCTGTCCTGCCTGTGCTGGCCCAAGTGCATCATCTGTCTTGGAGAGAACAAGGAAAACTGGCACAATCCCAGGCAGAAATCTCCTGTCCCAGTAAGTGATTGGATCCCCCAGAAGGAAACATGCCAGAGTCCCGGTTCTGCAGCCCTGTGTGAGCACAGCGGGGACTGCTGGAGCAGGTGCTGCTGTGGACCTGTTGACAGCCCATAGCTCTGCGAGGGGGAGTGGACTGGAGGAAGGGCAATGTCCCCTTTTCCTCCTAAGCCAGGGGCAAAGGTTAAAGGTGCAGCCCTAAGTTTTGGTTCTACAAAGCTGCTTGTAACCTCCCTGGTTCACCTACATCCCTCTGATCACACTGGTGGTGTGGTGCACAGCAACTGCTCCATGGAGCAGCACTTTCCCCACATGGCACGACCAGTACGTCATACAGGAGGGTTCCAATCACAACTAGAAGCAGAGTGGTCAAACCAGGGGTGAGGAAATCTCTTTTCATACAACAGTGGCTCTGTGTCATTGCCTTTCTTATCCCTAGTTGACCAGCCATGGGATGGGTTGAAGTTCTTAGTCTCTAGTCACACTTCCTTAACTCAGCTCACTGGGTAGTATTGGCTGTTATTGCCACTGAAGGTCACATCTGGAATTTTTTTTTAAATATCTCTATTGGGTTAAGGAAACCACAATAAGCAATGGCATCTGGTTCACAGACCTTATCAGCAAAGAGCTGCTGTCAGCTTCACTTAGAGGAGCAGTAATACTCTGGAATACTTTCCATGTTCAACAGGCGATCCCGAAACACGGTAAAAATGACAAATGAGAGCTCTGTTTCTCTCTGGCAGCATGGTGGGAGGTGGTGTGATCAGGAGGAGAATACCCCAGTTCCGAGCTCTGCTACTGGCCTTGGAAACATCCCATTGCCTCTGTGCCTCAGCATGGTCCCTTCTTTCTACATGTTTCAACCAAGAGTTGTTTGAGCAGGACCAGCTTTCGGAAGTGGTGGTTTTCCAGCATGGCAGATCCTCTTCAAGAACTCTTGCTCCTTAACCTCTGCCTTGTCTCCCCCAGGTGTGCCCAGTTGAACTGTTCATACTTTACCCAACTCAGGAAAACATTGATGAAATGATCTAGCTGTGAATACATGAAGGAAGGTATTTTATTAAACCAAACCATTTCAAAACTGGTTTTAGATCATGGCCACACAGACAGTTAGACTGGACCAGCTGAAGGAGTGGTACCCCAAGCGTGGCTGAGGATGGGAGGGAGGAGGAAGAGGGGAACCTCTTAAGCTGGACCAGGCAAGGACAATACCATGGTGGCACCACAGCCTTGCTGTGTGCCTGTGCTGCTCTTTCTGCAGCACTGTAAGGGGCTAATGCAGTCTGTGCTACACACAGCTCTGCCACAGCACTGGGGTTGGCATCCCCTTTCCGCAGGCTGGGGAGCAGGGGACTGCACAGGTCAAGTGAGGCTCCCAAATCCACATGGCAGGGAGTTAACACAGCAAGAAGTAAAAGCCAGGAGCCTGCTGTTAGCACTGTGCTGTTGCTGCGTGGCCACATCTAAACTCTTTTTATGTTGGTAAATCCTCTGGTAGTGTCAGCTGGGACCTGGAAGCATAAATGGAGAAAGATGAAAAAGCATCGGCTGGAAAGCTGCAAACCAACTTTTCTGGCCTGACAACAGAGCTGGTTTGTGTTCTGGGAGATTTGTTCCCTCTTCAGTGATTTTAGTATTGGCTGATGGTTTGTTATCAGCGCCAGCTGTCATTCCTCATAAGGAGAATGCCCATCTGTCTGGCGTTCGCTTGTAGCTGACAGTGTTGGAATGGCACATTAGCAGTATGACCTACCAGCATAAGTTCACAAGTAAAGCCTTTAAGAAGAAAGAGATTTTTTGTCATAGGAGACTTATTAAGCATGAAATACACGCGTAACATGAAATACCTTCCAGACACTGGCTTCCTGTATGTACAAGCATCCATATCCAGTCTTCACAACGTTTCTTCTTAAAAGAATTCAAACCCATAAAAATTAAGTAAACCCAAAATAAATAAAAAAAAATAAATAATCAACATTCTTCCAAGAATGCTTCATTATGCATGGAAATAAGGTTTCTTAGAGAGTCTGTTAAAAAAAAAAAAAATCACAAGCAGTATCACAAACTACAGCCTGTCAACTGCTCTGTTGAGTCAGTGGTTTTGCACCAGACCGTGTCTGTCTGGAGAGGTGGTGGTGTCTGCAGAGAGGGGAACAGGGGGTTGGAACAGGCTGTGTCTCTCAGCCAGGCCAGGCCCTTGTTGGCAACTGACAGCCATGAATAAGAGCATCTCAGATTTGGCAAGTGAGAAAACAGATTCTGACAGTCTTTTCAGGGCTCTTAAGTGCACCAAAAGGCCTGTTTCTAAGTTCACTGAAAGCAGAGGGAATCTTTCCAGTGGTTTCAGCAGGCTTGGGATCATATGAGATGAAAAACAGAAGGAAAGCTCCTTTAATCCTCTAATCTCTTCAAAGTATTATGGTTTTTAGCAGACAGTTTTCTTCCAGATGAGCAGTATGGTTTCTGTGTTGACAGCATCTCTTCAAGTACCAGCAAATATGGGTATGGCTTACTTAGGAAGGTTTTTTCTGGTCCCTATGGGAGCACCTCATGTTTTATGGACACAAAAGTGCCCTGTGAACACCCAAGACTTGATATCCCCAAATTGATGCTGGCACGAGTGCCATTGCCCAATTTGCACTGCTATGGTTGAGCTTTGTTTAGAGCCCCTGGAACACGCACAGCCACCAGTGCTGACCAGTCTAGATCCCTGCCTGCACTTTCCTTGACCTGTTGCTGGTTGTTTGGGCCGGGGCTTGCTGCTCAGTCTCCTCTGCGTCAGGAATGGCAGGTGAACTGCGTACGTGCTGCTCACCGGCGTCTGCTTCTTCCCTTGCAGCTGCAATGCTGAGACTGCCGCCAGGCCCCCCTCCGAGGGACAGCGTGATCTAAGGGAAGCTCATCTCCCAGCGCTGGAGGACGGCCAGCAGCCCGCAGCCATGTCCATGGCAACAGAGACCTGGGAGGAGAGGCCGAGCAGTGAGCCGTCCGGCGACACCGCAGCTGCAGGGAACGTAAGGGAGAGGAATTCCCCTCTCATCTGGGGCGTATGTTCAGGAGTGGTTTTCTTGTCAGAAGCTCTAAAGGATCCCTTCATTGTAGGAACTGGGCAGGCTGGGAGCCTGGGGTCTGAAACCACACCAACTTCCATGGGTGATTAAATTCTGCCAGAAGCATTTCTAGTGCTTTCTTTAAAATGCAGTTAATGAAACAGGAGTCAGGTTTGTACCTCTGCCTATCTGCTGCTGCATCTCTTGCAAGGAGTTCAGCAATAACCCCTTTGTGGCTCTCAGTGTGCCACCAGACCCTCATTGCAGTGGTGCCCAGGAGGTCAGACACTCTCCTAGTCCCCATTGGGTCAAACCACTAATGTAGGTAATCCACAGAGGGTGGAGTTCCTGACCCTGCAGTGCAGAAACATTCATAGAACAGAGGGAAAGCTAGCTCAGATCCCTGGAGGATGGGCTCAGCTCCCCCTTTCGGTCCTCAGCCAGGGCTGTGCTTTGGCTGCTTCGTGGTTATTTGACAGCCATGATCCAGCCACCATGAAGCCACTGTATTCAGAGCTACACAACAGCAACAGGAGAGGAGTCCTTACTGTTAGCACTAAGCAAGGCAGAGGAACCTGGGGGGACAGATTTCCTGATGGTTGTGTAGCAGAGCTGCATTTACAATCCCACCACCGATGAGTTTCATTTTCTTTCCTTTGGCAACCAAAGCCCAGCAGCTGTCTTTTGCTGACCACTCACCCAATACAGAGTGATATTATCATTAACAGGCAGACCAGCAGCCAAACTCCTCCCTGTGCCACCACATCATACACCAGAGATCCAAGGTGCCAGGCAGCCAGAGGGAGGAACAAGTCAATGCACTCACCCACCACGGTGGATGTGAAGAAGGGAGTGAACCAGACAAGGAGCCAAGCCATGGGAGCAACCAGTCCATGAGCCCAGTTACATAGCAGGGCTCAGAGACAGCATCGTGTTCTGGCCCTGACATCCTCACAACTCCTCTTGCCATGAAGAGTCAGGGAGCCCTTCCAATAGCCAGAACCCTCACACAACCCATGTACCGCATAGACAAATCTCCCAACACCAGCACAGAGTCAGTCCCCACCTCCAAGTTAATGTGGAAGGCAGGGGCACCTGGTGGTGATCTCCTAATCAGTTCCTGCCCAAGGCTGGCCAGACCCTGGGTGAAAGCCAATCTTTTCTTTCTTCAAGAAAGAGGGTCTTTCTTGCCTGCTTGTGGAC